GCTGCCGGCCGCCATCTTGGCTGGCAGTTAATTTGCATATCACCCTGATTAGCCAATGGGAAGGGTAGCGGAGTGACACCAATTTGCATGTTTCTCTTTTATTAATGTAGATAGATTATTGTATTATTTTCCGTATGGACAACTGTATACCTACTTTTGCCCCACCCTGTATAGGGTGTTTCAAAAAATGTTTACACACTTTGAATAATTATAAAGGCAATGTCTATTAAAATACATTTTATTTTCAACATGTAATAGAATTTACAGACATTGTGTGTATACATTTTTTGTGACTTCCTGTATATTTAACTGATATGTTGACAAGGGCCTTCTTCCCTTCAAATGTTTGAAAAGGTCTTTAAAACAAAATAAGGATTGAGTCATAGATATCTAACACTTTTATTTTGGAAATAAATCCAAAATGAACTAGAAAAGGTAAACATGACACAAAGTTATGCCACTGCACAAATCAGACTTTGATGCCCCACTTCTTTAATATTATGTCCTTAAATGTGTATGACTATAATTGATGAAATGTTGGCAAGGAGCTACTGCATTGTTTATCTCTCTTATTTGGGATGGCATCAATGTCCTCAATAATTAAATTTTTATCTCATCTCTAGATTGGGGAATTTGACTCATCAGTAGTTCTTAAATCCTTAAAGGAGGAAAAAAGCTCTCTGAGCAATAACAAAATTTTAGCATTGCACATTGTAGGCACACTAAATGTTTAAGTAATCATTTTGCTTTGGATATTTCATAGTCCTCAAGAGTTGATAGACTCAGCTATGATAGTCAATCAAAATTACCTAAATTTATATACTTGTGTTTTTAAGTTTGAATACATTTGATGCAAATGGCCTAAACTCTTCGTAGGACCTTGCTTAATGTTCTGTGTCCTTATACATAAAATTGAAAGTCACTTGAGGCTGAAAATGTAAGCACTGGTTTAGCCAAAGGATTACAGAACAAAGAAAGGTCTGCCTGTGGCTGGATGTGAGTCTCCGCAGCTGCAGGCACAGGGGAAGTTGTTAAGAAAATTTAGAAATACAAAATGCAAAAAAAATTATTGAACCTAGAAAAACTATACCAAAAGTGGTATGGAGAGAGTTCCTTCTCCATATTAACATTTCATGTATATGAGAATACTTATCTAGCTATCATTTACTTAATGCCATTCCTCCATAAAATATGACAATTATAGAACAATGGGCAGGAGGAGAGGGAGTGAAGGAGGGGAGGAGGTTAAACAAGAATAAATGCAATATTGAAGGTCTCTTCCTATAAATTTTCAAAGGTGTATGTACATACCAAATAGTATATACAAATGTTTATTTAATATATATCAAATATTAATTTAGTTACATTAGAAAGTTACTTGTAATAAAATATTTTATCTGCTAAACAGAGCTGAAGGTATCAGATTTGTCTAAAAGTATAACCTAATCTTGTGTAACACATAATAGTGTCTTATAGACACCTGCATGAGAATTTTTATTTTCTTTCTCATCTGTTTTCATCTTTTTATATCCTGAATAGGTTGAATCATTATACAATTTTACCTTTATGCATAAGATATTCTCTGAAATTGGTTAAAATGAATAAGTTAATATTATTAATATCATAATAGGTTTAGACTCTAGATCAGCGATTTTCAACTGGTATGCCACAAGAATTTTTAAAACATGCAATACCTAGAGAACAAACTGACAGCTGTCAGATGAAAGGATTAAAAAAAACAAACCAAAACAAAAAAAACCTCACGGACACAGATGACAGTATGGTGATTACAGAGGGAAAGGAGGTGTGGGGAGGTAGAAGAGGATCTAGTTGGGATAAATGGTGATGGAAGGAGACTTGACTTGGGATGGTGAACACACAATACAATATACAAATGTTGTATTGTAGAATTGTACACCTGAAACTTATATAATTGTATCAACCAATGTTACCCTAGTAAGTTCAATGAAAATTTTTTTAAAACATGTACTACCTGACTAGTTAGTCAGGGGCACTGACCTCTTTTGTCTTAGATTGTCAAATGAAAAAATGTCAACAGCCAACACAACAATAGCCATCCAGTGTGAATGCCCTGTCTTGGAGTATTGGAAAGAATGACATTCTATAAATATATAGATCATATAATATAGTTGCATCTTATTGGTCATGTTGCATAATAAAGCTAATTGGTTAATTCTTGGTACCAGAAATCTTTATATACAAGTATGAGCACTTGGTTTTTTAACCAAAGAACTTATATGCGTATATGCATAATCCATGGACACAAAGTCACTTTGGAGTAAAAATTACTATTATTATTTTTTGGTAAATTAATAAAAATCAAACCTATTTTTTGTCAGATTGGCAAAAAATATCAGATATTTTTGGTGTGCTACAGAATTTTAGTAATTAGTTTCTGTGTGCCATGAGATGAAAAGGTCGAAAGTCGCTGCTCTAGCTGTAAGAGGGATGCAAGTTCTAATTCAGTTTATCATCATTTAAACTATGCTTTGGGGATTTGGGACTTTAGACTTTTCCAGTGCATTTCTCAAATGTGATGCTTTATTTGTCCAGTGTTTCCTATTCCTGTCTTAGAAGCCTGACTGCTTTTAAGGACGTCTCCACCCTCCCCTCATAGATCAGACAGATGCTTCCCTTTTGGTCAGCAGTATGGATTGCGGCATCCAACAGGCCCCAAGTTAATGCCATCTTAACGCATGTAATACATGAAGTTCCTCCAAAACATTGTGACAAAATATGAATCTAGGAAAAAATAAAGACAGTCTTTGACAATTATTGATAATTTAATCTTATTTGCTAATCCCACTTGTTCTAATAGGTTTATTTCCTATATGATTTTTCATGTAATTCTTCATAACGTAGAAATATATAAAATTTGTCCTAGTGATTATGTTGAAACGTGTTGATCCCTAAACTCTAACCTAGAATGTCATTCTTTCCAATACTCCAATATTAATGTATCATTTTTATCTTCAGCATTCTATAATTGGAAGCCCATTAGAGATGGTTGACAGGCCTGTAGGTTGGACCACTGCAGAGTGGCATCAGGCTTTCAGGTGTCTGTGCACTTCTAGGAGTGGAGAGTAAGATAGAGAGCGGTAATAATCACCCACTCAAGAACTTACTGCCAACACCATAACAACTTGCCCAGACTTATTAGGGATGAAAAATTAAACTTCTTTCTAAATGCTCAGTGGGAGAGTTCTGCTGTGATACATTTGTGTTAAGATAGCTTGCTTCTCTTACAGTTGTGTGTCTGTGTTGTAGGGGCGTGCGATTTTTGCCAGTGGCAGTCCTTTTGATCCAGTCACTCTTCCAGATGGTCGGACCCTGTATCCTGGCCAAGGCAACAACTCCTATGTGTTTCCTGGAGTTGCCCTTGGTGTTGTGGCGTGTGGATTGAGGCATATCACAGACAAGGTTTTTCTCACTACTGCTGAGGTACTGTAAAATACTCTTAAGTTCTCTCAGGCTATAAAATACCAAAGGACCTCCATGTAGTTGTCTAATGTTGTCTTTATCTAGTACAATCTCGGCTCACTCCCTAGAAGGTATAGCTGAAGGAGAGAACATCTTTCCCAGTGGAGAGAGAATAAGGGGCAGGTAGCAGGCTCATATTGAGTCATTTGTAAAAGATTGTTCTTTAGTAGCCAGCAAAAACCCCACAAAATTGTGTTCTGATTTCTTAAATGGAACCCTTTTTTATCTTTATACTTTCAAATTTTGTGCCAGTAGTGAGACAATTAAAAATTTTGTTTCCAGCCCAGCTGTTGTTGCTCAGTGGTTGAGCATCAACCTATGAACCATGAGGTCCACAGTTCGATTCCTGGTCATGGCACATGCCCTGGTTGCGGGCTCAGTCCCCAGAAGGGGGCATGCAGGAGGCAGCTGATCAAGCTCTCATCATTGATGTTTCTCTCTCTTTCTCTCCCTCTCCCTTCCTTCCTGAAATCAATTTTAAAATATTTAAAATATCTCCAATTCATAGGTTAATTGGTAAATATTTCTCTACTTAGAGAAATATTAATGGCATTTTGAATATTTAAAATGAAAGCCTGATTTGGGATAGTGAAGAAGTGTTTATCATTCAGGGTTCAGTGTAGAAAACAGAAACCACTCTAGTATTATTTTTTATCTTCACCCAAGGATATGCCGGTATTGATTTTAGAGAGAGAAAAAAGAGTGGGGAGGGAGGGGGAGAGAGAGAGAGAGAGAGACATCAGTTGCCTTCTGTATGCACCCAGACTAGGAATCAAACCTTCAGCCTAGGTATGTGCCCTGATCAGGTATCGAACCAACTGACCACCCGACCAGGGCATAACCACTCTAGTATTTTTAGCAGAAAGGAAATTAAAACAGGGAATTAGGTGTTTATAATGTTGCTAAAAGGATAGAGGTGGGTTTTAGTGTGGGCCTTCAGAAAAGATTCTGAGAATATCACAGAGAAGACCCACTAGGGAAGCTCTGCTAAGCTACTACTGTTAAGAACTGAGAAAGCTCTGAAATTTTACCCTATTGTCAAGCTAACAAATTAGCCCGCCACAGTGTCATAAATTCTGGCAAAAGATACAAAACTCTTAGAGACAAAGCACTTTATTACTTACTAGATATAGCACAAAAGGTAACATGAACTTCTAGTGCCCACTGGTTCCACCCGCCCCCCGGCCTCAGGGGGGTGATACAGTGATTGGACATACAGATGTAAAATCATGAGCTTTTGATCATCAGAACGTTCACCTAGCTGATATCATGTTCAAAAATGATACAATTCATGAATGAAAATTAGAGTGGATTTCTTCTCTTAGAATTAAACCACTGTACAACATTATAACTGAACTGAATGAAATAACAATTAGTATTCAATGAAAATATCAACAAAGACTCTTATGAAATTGATGTGATCTAAAGGTGTGTAATCCCCATATTCAGGCGGAGTCATTCTGTGAGCACAGACGTCTGGAAGCAAGAATGTTCTGCTGCTTTCTTTTTGGTCCCTGCAATAAAAGCACAGCAGCTATGTCTCAGCGTTACTTTAACTCAATAAGTCTTGTTGAACATAAGTACATGTCTAATTACTAAAAGAGCTTTTCAAAGCTGTTACATTAAGGAAAATGTAATGATTATATTTTATAGCAGATACATCATAAGAAAAAAAAAAAAGGTTTTTTTTTCATAGTAGCCAGCATTTTCTTTCCTAAATAACTCCAGCACCCTCTAGTGACAAATTGCATTTAAAAAACTTTCCATTTACTATCCAAAAGTAATAATAGCAAAAAACTATGAAGAAAAATAAATAAAATATGTCGATGTCATTAGTGTTGTTCTTATCAGAGCTTGGGATCTCTCTGGCTAAATCTTTTGGCCTTTCCACGTTTCTCTTAGGCATCAAAACAATATTCCGGTTTTTATACCACCTTATTGATTTTACTGTCTCCCTTTCATGTCTTTGTTTTTTTTTTGTTGTTGTTTTTTTTGCTATGAGCACTTTTCCGGCATTCATTTTTTGTCCTTTTTTACCCCCTTTTTCTTTGAGAGATCTCATCCATTCTCTTGTTTCCATTATCTTCGTTCAAAAATTGCTCAAATCTGGATATCTCTGTTATCATCTTCACCATGTCTCCTTATCTAATGGGCATTTCCACAGAAATACCCTGCTGATTGCTTAAACACAAGACGTGTAAAACCATATCGCTCATCTTCCCTTGCCTTCAGTATTTGCATTGTTGTTAGTGATATGGCCTTTCTAAGCAGGCACCAAAGCTTAGAAGCCAGACATTCTTCTCAGTCTCCCTCATCCCAAAGTTTCCATGCATACACACTTACATGTAATTTCTCTCTATGACCTACTATCGGTTATCCTGCCTGGGAAACTCTGAAAATCATGCCCCACCCATTGAAGCCTACCATTCAGGTCATTGCTTAAGTCCCCCTCATCCTCTTGTGACCACTCTGGCTGCTCATGGTCTTTCTCCTTAGCCATGGCTGTCTTCATCAAACATACCAGCATTTAAATTTCATTCCTAGTGGTTTTATGCCCTTGAGAGCTTTGTATTTTAAACAATTAAGTGTTGTCTTATAATTAAATTTTAAATTATCTTTTTTTAAAAAAGAGCTTTCCATATTCTTCTTTTAAAATGCCAGTAGCACCTAGTATGATGCTAAAGCACATCGCAGAAACTGAGTAAATACTTACTGAATTAAATTAAGTGGAATAGTCATGGATCTTAGCAAGAAGAACAAATACAATGCATGCACTCACTGCTAGAGGGCCCTATAAAGAAGAAAGTCCTTTTCATCTAGATTATATTTGTAGTTAATCAAAGTAACATGTAGGAGATCTAGGCGAATTTTTGATTGGCAACTGCAAATAACTATTAGGGTTATTGTAAAAATGCTAGTTAGATATCTTATGCAACTCGAAATCTCATGGATTGGCACCAATGCTGAAAACTATTCCTGGACAGTTTAATATCTCACACAGAGATCGTTGGCTTTCCTGGTACTCTGGACAGTCTCCCGGGCCCCTGATGGGAGCACCCAGGGTGCCCCAGGGGCAGCCCTCCTGCCTTGGCATCGAACGTACAGCAGCCTGTCCACTTCTGGGAGGCAAGCCTTGTCTCCTGTCCTCACACTGCTCCTCTTGAGTCACCTGCTGGGTCCTCTCATTCACCTATGTATATGCATATATATATCGTATTTTATTGGTGAACCATTTGAAAGCAACTTACAGATAGTATGCCTTTTTACCCCTAAATATTTTGGGAAATTTTCTTATGTGATCAGTGTACCATTATCAATTCAGGAACATTAGCATTGATATAATACTATTATTTAATGCACAATCCAAATTCAAATTTTCCATTAAAAGGACCTTCAGAGCATCTAGGCTAATCCTTTAATCTGTAAGAATATTTCAGCCTTTTGTTTCCTTTATGGCATTAACATTGGAGAGTACCGTCCAGTTATTTTACAGTGTTCCTCAATTTAGGCCTCTGATTGGTTCCTTCTGATTTAATTCAAGTTGCATGGTTTTATGAGGAGCACTGAATGCCTAGTAATTGTCTCCTTCTCAGGGCAACACCTCAGGAGAGGCACATGATGCCAAGTTTTCTCCTATTTTTAAAACCACTTTATTGAGTTATGATTGACATGTGAAAAGTTGTGGTGGTCAGAACACTTAATATAAGAGCTACCCTCTTAGCAAATGTTTAAGTGCGCGTGCGTGCACTGCTTGATTTAGAAATGGGGATGGTTGCGGACAGCAAACACTGATGCTAGTTAGGTGATCCAGATACTCCAGAATCTGTGGGAAATTAAAATCCTACCCGCAAGGCGACTCTGAAGGAGGTTTCTCAGCCTCCTGCTCTCCCTCCTGTGCAAGATTATGTGAGCTGGGAGTCATGACTTCATCAGCTTTGCACACCTTCTCTCCTCAGCGGCTTTCAGGCTCCTTCTCCATCACTGTCTCCTCCTGTAACTTCCTACTCCTCTCTCCCTGTTCCTCTCGTGTGGTAAATGGGAGAGCTGCTGGCATTTCATGGTACAGTAGAACAGGAACTGGACTAAGAGGAAACCCAAATTCTATTCCTATCTTTTTCGCTAATGGTGTGATCCCACCAATCACCAAGCCTGTCTGGGCTCAGTGTTTCCGCTGATAAAGGGGGAGGGGAAATTAGAGGATCACATTCATGTGATCTGCTTCTATACATGACCGTATATGTACCATTCACCTATTTATCCTCATAACCCCCACGTCGTATGTGTGAAGTGTAAACATTTTTGTTTTGTGCTTGATTTAGAAATGGGGATGGTTGCGGACAGCAAACACTGATGCTAGTTAGGTGATCCAGATACTCCAGAATCTGTGGGAAATTAAAATCCTACCCGCAAGGCGACTCTGAAGGAGGTTTCTCAGCCTCCTGCTCTCCCTCCTGTGCAAGATTATGTGAACTGGGAGTCATGACTTCATCAGCTTTGCACACCTTCTCTCCTCAGCGGCTTTCAGGCTCCTTCTCCATCACTGTCGTCCTCCTGTAACTTCCTACTCCTCTCTCCCTGTTCCTCTCGTGTGGTAAATGGGAGAGCTGCTGGCATTTCATGGTACAGTAGAACAGGAACTGGACTAAGAGGAAACCCAAATTCTATTCCTATCTTTTTCGCTAATGGTGTGATCCCACCAATCACCAAGCCTGTCTGGGCTCAGTGTTTCCGCTGATAAAGGGGGAGGGGAAATTAGAGGATCACATTCATGTGATCCGCTTCTATACATGACCGTATATGTACCATTCACCTAATTATCCTCATAACCTCCACGTCGTATGTGTGAAGTGTAAACATTTTTGTTTGTTTTTTTTCTTTTTAAGGTTATAGCTCAGGAAGTGTCAGATAAGCACTTGGCAGAGGGCCGCCTGTATCCTCCTTTGAACACCATTAGAGATATTTCTCTGAAAATTGCAGTAAAGGTAAAACTGTTCTTGTTCAACCTTGTTATTTTTCCTTCCTTCTATTGTTAAATATGCATTTTTTGGTATTAAAAATCCACTCTCTTGAAATTTCTGTCACCTTATTATGTCAGCTGGCACAGAGCCTCAGCAGAGCTTAGGGACTCTGATCTGTAGCAATGGAAGAATCAGCTGAATCATTAATTCCCCCATCAATCTTTTTCTCTCCTATAATTTAAGTGATTCATTAGGATTTCCTTTCAGGTAGGTCTTTTATACTTTACCCTTTTTTAGTTAGTATCTTCCATATCACAGTTATGAAAGTTGCTAACATGTTGCGGATGTGGTAGAGGGACATTTAGACTCCAAAATACCTGCCTTATCCGCGTCTCCATGGGGTGTGGATCCGCGTCTCCATGGTGTACGGTATCTTAAAGATCACAACTAATAACGCTGGCAGAGGGCAATGCAATGACGGCAAAGCACTCAAAGCTTTTGGGGTGGTAGATGAGCTATTGAAGGAATCAGCCAAAAAGAATCTAATGGCAGAGAAATCTTTTGTAACTGAGAGAGATTAATATTTTTGCAATATAGTTGTATTAGTTTGCTAGGGCTGCCATAGCAAAATACCACAGACTGGGTGATTTAAAAACATTTATTTTCTCATAATTCTGGAGGCTAGAAATCTAAGGTTCAGGCATAAGCAGGACTTATATCTTTGGAGGCCTCTCTCCTGAGCTTGTAGGTGACTGCCTTTTCTGTGTCTTCATGGGGTCTTCCTTCTGTGTATGCATATCCCTGGTGTTGCTTTGTTCAAGTTTACCTTCTCATAAAAAACACCAGTCATTGGGAATGCAGACTGGTGCAGCCACTATGGAAGACAGTATGGAGTTTCCTCAAAAAACTAAAAATGGAACTCCCATTTGACCCTGTGATCCCACTTCTAGGAATATATCCCAAGAAACCAGAAACACCAATCAGAAAGGATATATGCACCCATATGTTCATAGCAGCACAATTCACCATAGCTAAGATCTGGAAACAGCCTAAGTGCCCATCAGTAGATGAATGGATTAGAAAACTGTGGTACATCTACACAATGGAATACTATGCTGCTGTAAAAAAGAAGGAACTCTTACAATTTGCAACGGCATGGATGGAGCTGGAGAGCATTATGCTAAGTGAAACAAGCCAGTCAATGAAGGAAAAATACCACATGATCTCACTCATTCATGGATAATAAAGACCATTACAAACTTTTGAACAATAATAGATACAGAGGCAGAGCTGCCTCAAACTGATTGTCAAACTGTGTCAAACTGCAGCGGGAAGGCCGGGGAGGGTTGGGGGGCAGGAGGGAAGGGGGTAAGAGATCAACTGAAGGACTTGTATGCATGCATATAAGCATAACCAATGGACATAAGACACTGGGGGGTAGGGGAGGCCAGGGGATTGTCAAGGGCGGGGGAAAAAAGGAGACATATGTAATACCCTTTGTAATACTTTAAGCAATAAAAAAAAAAGATAGGAATTGAAGTAGTCTATAGGAGGGATTTTTGTTTTGGACATAGAATAAAAAACTATTATTACAAAAAAACAACACCACCAGTCAACATGGGTTAGGGCCCACCCAAACAGCCTCGTTTTAACTTAATTACCTCTTAAAGGCCCCGTCTCCAAACACAGTCACATTCTGAATACTGGGGGTTAAGGCTTCAATATTTTGGGGTGACATACTTCAGCCCATAATATAATTATATATTTAAGCTAGGGTTTCTCAACCTCATGCACATTTGTCTGGATAACTCTTTGTTGTGGGGCTGTCCTGGGCATTGAAGGATATTTAACAGCATCGCTGGCCTTTTCCCACTAGATACCAGTAGCCTCTGAAGGGTTGTGACAAACAAAAATATTTCCAGAACATTGCCAACTCGTCCCTCAGAGGCGAAATGGTTTGTGGTTGAAAACCAAAGCTATTAGCAAGTTTATCAAAACGACACCATTTAGGATTCATATGTCATTATTTATCTTGTTGATTGAGGGTAAATGCTTCAAAAACTGAGTAATCCTTCAAAAACCATTTAGATAATCTGCTTGGTTATTTATTTGTATAGAGTATGCTCATATTTTCTCCTGATGTGTGTCTACTAATCTTTAACTAGTTTGAATGGTTATTGCACCACACAGTAGTTGGGATTACAAGAGAGCAAGTATAGAAAGAAAAGAAAACCAAGGATAGGACATCGTTTGTTTTCTGCCAAAAGTCAGAAGAAAGGCAGTTAGGCAGAGAAGTCATGATTTCAAGGAGAGACTCAGGACTGCGCAGCATGTCAGAAATTAGAGGAAGACACACTTCCAGGATGGGGGTGGACATTGTGATTAAGAAAATCAAGTCCTGGCAAGAAAAACTCGTTTGAATGATGACAATTTTTATTTATATGTAAGAAGTCATCAGAAACTATTACAAAAAGCAATTTCAATGGTACAAGAAGTTAATCCAAGCCACTCTTCTAGAGAGTTGGGCTTTGACAAGGAGAGAGGGAAGACTTTACTGAGAGGATCATTAAGAGTCTGTATCCTGGGAGCATAAAGAGGAATGAAATTCCACATAGTCTATGTCAGAAATGAAACAATGCATTGTAGGCACTTTGGAAAATAGAGAAGAGGGAAATGCCTAAATTCGACTTTTCTAACAGAAGCAACTCATCATTTTGGGGTGTGTGCTTCTAGTCTTTTTTCATGTGTTTGCTTCATTTCTAACATAATTTAATAATGTGTGGTGTTTTGTTTTCTGATATTTTCATAAACATTTCTTCATAATATAGAATAGTCTTTATAACCGTAATTTTTCATAAATGCATAGTTTTACATTGAGAAGAGATACCTAACCATTCTAATATTCTTCGAAAACAGACTTATCCAAATAAGTCTAGTGTACAGATAGCTCCTCAGTGAAACAGGAGTAATTTAAGAGCACACATGGAATGATTCATTTTGACAAGAGGGAAAATCCATTTTTCGCAAAGAAAATATGGGAAGAGAAGACGTTTGAAGAGAAAGAAGAGATAGTTTGAGTTGATGAAAAGGGAAATTGAGATTGTTTTCACGGATTAATTGGAATCTTCTCAGTAGAGTGGTGAGAGTTAAATGGAGACTCAACAGGAGATGGTTTGAAATTACCTGTGGGAAAGCTGAGAGGAAGTTGCTTTTTATTTTATTTTTCAAGAGGAGGATAAAAGCATAATGTGTAACCACATAACCCAGGTGAGGTTAGGAATAGTAGGCCATTGCGGGGGAGAGCCATGAAAGGAGAAAGCTGGCACTCAGGGTTCCCCACACTGGGACTAGAATGGAGAGTGTGACACAGAGACATGGAAACAGGATTCTGTGATGCTGGGAAGGAGCGTTGAAACTGCCCATGGAGTCCTGCTGGTTAGGTGAGCAGGGTCAGGAAACTGGGGTAAAAAAAGAGATTTTGTAAGAGGCTGTGGTTAGAATAGAGATTATTAAAACTGCAAGTTCAAACTTAGTAGGCATATTACCATAGTCAGTTCAAGTTAATTACCAGTCAGGTCATTTCAAGACATTTCCCACGTTATCTGAGAAATCCTGGTGTGATCACCCTTGAATAAATCTCTGCTATCCACACTTCCCTTTGTTGCTGTTATTGTATTCTCCTCTTGCTACATAATTTATATTTGCATTTTCATTTTATATCTTATTTGTGTATGTGTACTTTTAATACAACTTGCTGTTTTTGAAAACAGACAAGATATAAATTATATATTAATTTTCTTGGAACAGACAAAAACTTCTGCCATGTATTCACCATCACCTCTGTTCCTTAAAATATAACTAAGACTCTTTTTCTATTTCTAGATTGTGAAAGATGCATACCAAGAAAAGACAGCCACAATTTATCCTGAACCCCCAAACAAGGAAGCGTTTGTCTGCTCTCAGATGTATAGCACTGATTATGACCAGATTCTACCTGAGGAGGCCCAGAAAATACAGACCAAATCTGACCAGTAACATAATAACTAACATTTCTAATTCCATTAATGAGATCTGAAATCTTTCATAATTTTTAAAGATTAGAATCTTTTATAATGATTTAAAATATGCTAGATTAAGATAATTTTACTTTAACAATCTAAAAATTTATGGGAAAATATTAATATACTTTAGGGCACATATCATACTAGATAATTTTGCTTCATTTACTTTCTGGTTATTTATGATTTCTATCTTATTTTGCCCAAGTTCTCTTTAAAAGCTATTGTACCTACTACTGAGAAACTCATTGTTTTTATATAGGGAACTAATGGGAAGACCAAAATTAGTAATAAATTGACATGATTAAAATTAAAACCCATCATTCTTTGGTTGACCATTTTGTTAAAAATCTTTTTTTATATATAGACAGAAATATATTTAGGCATAAATGAACTTTTGCTAAAAACAGAAATAACACGTTGTTGCCTAGAGAAATATAACTTCTCAGGTATTTTTATTCCAATTCCAGACCATACTTGTTCTTTTGGTGCAACTGAATTCTAACATTTCTAAGAAAGATTATTGCTGTTTACAATGCGTTGGGCAGCCTTAGATTTTAATATTCTTTCTCCATTGTTACATCTTCTTATCATCTTGGCCTCCATCACCTATCCCTTCTAATAGCATCTTTCTTTCCCCTGACTAAGTACCCTATCCTTCAGCTCCACTTTACTGCTGCTGGGCCTTTGAGGACTATGGCTCCTGTCCTGAGGTAGGTACCTTCAGTTCAGCACAGGCTGAGCAGTGGGAAGAGCAGAGGGGAGAGTAGGTCAGCTCCTTGAGAAAAGGCTGTCTGTGGCGTCAACCTCTTAAGACAAGGATCTGCAGAGTCAGGAGCGAGAGCCCAGTTCCTAGACAAGCTGGGTTCCCACTTGAGTGACCTGCTCTAATGTTCCTTTGATTCGTTCAGATAATCAAGAGCTCCTTTTGTGGTTACAGTAAACACAATTTCCTCTGAATTTGGAGAAAATTTTGTAACCACTTCCCCAATAGCAGAAATCTTTACATTAGATATTAAAATATTCTAATTACCATTAGTAGTTACAGCCAAGAAATTCATGTTCATTTCAAGCTTTACTTTAGAAACTAATCACTGAACTTCTGGAGACAATTTTAAATTCATAAGCTCAGGTACAATAACATTTGCTATTTACTTGTAGAATTTTTCAGAGAATTTTCTGGTTTTTGAAGTAATGCTTTTAAAGAATATAAAATGATGTTCAAGGTTAACTATACTATAAATGATTTTATTGTAAGTGGAAGGTTACAAATTGTTTTAAGTGGGAGAAGAGGTGGGGGTATTTCTGAAGGTAAGATTTAGTCAAGAATTTCCTCAATATAGTTATTTTGATAAGATCCAGAATGCCTCTTTTTTGTCTGTTTCGATGTTGTCTTATAGCTCTAACTAAATGTACTTACCTATGCAAAAGATTTATTAAAGCATAGAAAAAGTGAATGAAGAAAAGTGTAAAATAATTGTTTTTCTCTTAAAGTATTGTTCATTTAAAAATAATGCTGGGTCTTAATGGGTGGTCATGTGACAGTATATAATGAATTTAAAAGTATTCTGATAGTTAATTTCAATATGAACTTAGTTTATTTAATACCAGTTGTATACAAAATGAATGAGCTTAGAGGAAGATAGTGAAACAGCTTTGGATGGTTACTTACTAGGTAGCATGTATTCTGTGTACATTATCTTATTTAATGTGGTCCCCACAATTCCCTTATGAAGTAGATATATTGAGTAACTTGCCAAGTCCAGAGAGTTAATACTAGTAAGTAAAGGAGACGGGCTTTAAATCTATGTTTATCTTTCTTCTTAGTCTGTTCTCTTTTCACTAAAGTACAGTTTAGAACAGCACTGTCCAACAGAAAATGAAAGAGCTACATGTATAATTACTAGTAGTTTCATAAAAAGAAAAATGGAATTTATATTAATAATATACTTTATTTAAACCAGCATATTCAGAATATTATCATTTTGACATGTAATCAATATAAAAATATTAATGAGATATTTCACATTATTTTGTTCATACTAAGCCTCTAGTATCCAGATATTTATACTTACATCAGTCATGAGAACATAGAGAACAATGGAATAGAACAAGAAGCTCACAGAGACCCCCTGAATATATGAATTATAAAGGCAGCACTATAATTAGAGATAAAGAATGGATTATAAACCAGTATTATATGAAATGCTGAAAGGTATCCTTTAAGAAGAGGAAGAAGAAGAAAAAGGTAAAGATACAAATTATGAACAACAAATACGCATCTATCAACAAGTGAATCTAAGAATCAAGTGAATAAATAATCTGATGAACAGAATGAACTGGTGATTATAATAGAATCAGGGACATAGAAAGGGAATGGACTGACTATGCTTGGGGGGGGAAGTGGTGGGGGAGATGCGGGAAGAGACTGGACAAAAATCATGCACCTATGGATGAGGACAGTGGGTGGGGAGTGAGGGCGGAGGGTGGGGTGGGAACTGGGAGGAGGGGAGTTATGGGGGGGAAAAAGAGGAACAAATGTAATAATCTGAACAATAAAGATTTAATTATTTAAAAAAAAGAATGGATTATGTAGTTAAAAAGATTAGGAAAACAAAACTATAGAGAGAATGAAAACTATATACTATATAAAATTAAAACTACTATGTAAAAAGGTAGACTTTAAATGGGTTAATACTTAAGTATGAATGGTAAAATATAAAACTAATAAAAAAAATCGAAGCAAAATATCTTTGAGACCTCAGAAACACAAACTTGAGGTTAAAAATTTGATGGAATGTACTATCTAAGAGTGGAAAGGTTTTGGCTGATAAATGGCTGCTGCCATAAAACTGTAAAGGATGAAGAAATCCAGGACTGTGGGGTAGGTTAGTTGCTCTACAGAGATGGAATCATAAAGAGATAATTTAGGCTCAAAGGCTTAAGTTCTCAGCTCAAGGCACAGTATAAAAATGAGAAAAATGCCTATGTTTTTGCTAAAAGAATCTCTTCTCTCTTACCAACTGTAAGGCTGAAATAACTGAAAACCAAGGTATTATTTTAGCCATCTGGTTGCCAAATTACACCAGGAATTGCATTCACAGCCTTACCAGACCTCATCTAAAAGTAAAGAGTAATGACCAGGAAACAGTAGGACCTAGATTTGGAATGGGGATGTATGGCATGGGGATTTGGAGGACTTGTGACACTCTGAACTAGGTGAACAATAGCCCGTTTTTAATTACTGAAAGTCCTGTGTCCCAGGAAACCCCTCAACCCCAGACAAACCAGAACACTTGACGTGTCCTCCCTTGCTAATCAAAGCGGGAGGTTTTCTTGTCTAAAGATGTTGTTGCTCAACCAAAGGGCTTGTATGCATACATATAAGCCTAACCAATGGACACAGACAACAGGGGGGTGAGGGCATGAGTGGGGAGTGGCAGGGGGCAATGGGGGGATAAGGACACATATGTAATACCTTAATCAATAAAGAAATTTTTTTTAAAAAGATGTTGTTGCTGCCTTGCTTGAAGATCCTGTGATGATCTCACTCAGTTTGCTTCCTGCTCTTCCCAGATTACTTCTGCTTATCTCTGTACACATAATATCAGATTCCAATAGCTGCGTTGGATACAATTACAAAGACAAACCCAGGAGGAGAAGATTCCTACCAAAAGTATTCTAGATTTGGCTTATTTACATTGGCAAAACCTGAGGAAAATGTTTGGGATTCTGAAAATGTACTAAGAAAGAAGTGTGATTTTGGATTGGGTAGAATTGATTGATTAGGGATGCACTTGCCACAGGGGTCTAGATTAATGTGCTGCCTTAAGCAGTTGAAAGAGATTCTACTAGTTGGTTCAATTAGTTGACTGAAATATACTATATAATAAAAGGTTAATATGCAAATCAACCGAATGGTGGAATGACTGGTCACTATGATGTGCACTGGCCACCAGGGTTCAGATGCTCAATGCAGGAGCTGCCCCCTGGTGATCAGTGCGCTCCCACAGTGGGAGTGCCGCTCAGCCAGAAGCCAGGCTCACGGCTGGCGAGTGCAGTGGCGGTGGCGGGAGCCTCTTCTGCCTCTGAGGCAGCACTAAAGATGTCCGACTGCCGGGAGCAGGCCTAAGCCGTCAGTCAGACATCCCCTGTGGGCTCCTGAACTGTGAGAGGGTGCAAGCTAGGCTGAGGGACGCCCCCCACCCTGTCGAGTGCACAAATTTCATGCACCGGACCTGTAGTAAACTTAATAATGGCCCACATTAAATACAATTGAGAATGCCAACATTCCTTGAAATAATATAAAGGAATTAAAAGATTACAAAAATAGGAGTGTTGGAGTGGATTTGTCTTGTGCAAATCAAAACATTCTAATCCTAATTATTTCCTAACTAAGTTTCCCAAGAGGACCTATCGGTTTCACTGAGGCCTTGAGAGACACATTGGTGAAGGGAATAGCAGCATCCATGAAAAACATTTTTAAAAAATTAAGGTATAATTAACATGTAACATATTAGTTTCAGGTGATCAACATGATTCCATATTTGTATATATTGTGAAATGATCACCAAAATAAGTCTAGTGATCATTTGTCACCATACATAGCTACAAAATGTTTTTCTTTTTTATTAATATTTTTTTGGTGTACCACAGAATTTTAATAATTAGTTTACATATTTTTTAACATATTTCTTTATTTCAGAGAAGAAGGGAGAGGGAGAGAGAGATAGAAACATCAATTACTGATCAACTGCCTCCTGCATGCCCCACCCTGGGGATCAAGCCCACAACCCAGGCATGTGCCCTTGACCAAATCAAACCCGGGACCCTTTACTCCACAGGCCAATGCTCTGTCCACTGAGCCAAACCAGCCAGGGCCAAAATGTTTTTCTTATGAGAACTTTTGAGATGTACTCTTTTAGCAACTTTCAAGTATGCAACAGAGTAGTATTAACTACTAGAGGCCTGGTGCATGAAATTCATGCATGGGTAGGTTCCCTAGGCCTGGCCTGCAATCAGAGCTGATCTTCCCCAGGTTGGGGCAGCTGGCCCCTCCACCCATGTCCGCCGCCACCCACCCCCAGTTCCCCGTTCCCCATTGGATGATTGGAGCCTGCTGGCTGGGTGGAGGGACCAAGAGGTTGGCTGGCAGGCCCCAATCGGGATCTGGGACTGTGGGCTGGGAGCAGCTCCTGTGTTGAGCATCTGCCCCCTGGTGGTCAGTGCATGTCATAGACGACCGGTCGTTCCACCATCCAATCGATTTGCATATTACGCTTTTATATACATAGTCAGCATACTAAACATTACAGTCCCATGACTTATTTTATAACTGGAAATTTGTATGTTTCGACCCCTCTCACCAATTTCCCCCATCCTCCCACACTCTCATCTCTGTCAACCACCAGTCTCTTTTATGTATCTACTAGAGTCGTGGTGCATGAATTCGTGCACTGGTGGGGTCCCTCTGGGTGGCCTGTGGGGATTGGGCTGAAACCCGCAGTTGAATGCCACCTGCAGCTCCTACCTGCTGCTCCCGCTCATCCCAGCCCCACTGAACCTGCTGTAGGTTCACGCCCAATCAGTCCCATGCTGCCGCAGCAACGCTCACCAGCCATGAGCCCTGCATCTGGTGCCCTCCCAAGGGGAGTGGTCGGCAGGATCAGGACAAAACGGGCCCTCTGACATCCCCCGAGGGGTCCCAGATTGCAAGAGGGCACAGGCCAGGCTGAGGGACCCCACCAATGCACAATCGGGGCCGGGCAGGGACTGACCAGCCAGGAAGGGATGCGGAAGGTTGGCCAGCTGGGGAGGGACCTCGGGAGGGCTCCAGGGCGTATTCAGCCCATCTTGCTCAGTCCCAATCGGCCAGACCCCAGGAGCAAGCTAACCTACCAGTCAGAGCGTCTGCCCCCTGGGTGGTCAGTGCACGTCATAGCGAGCGGTTGAGTGGCCTTAGCATATCATTAGCATATTACACTTTGATTGGTTAAACAGTCGACGGTCACTGGACAACTGGAAACTTAGCATATTAGGCTTTTATTATATAGGATGGGCTCTGTGTTTTTATTTGTTTGTTTTTTGTTTAGATTCCACATGTAAGTTTATTTCACTTAACATAATGCCCCTGAGGTCTATTCATGTTGTCGCAAATAGCAACATTTTACTTTTTTTATGGCTCAATAATATTCATATATACCACATTTCCTTTATTCACCCATTGTTGGCCATGTCTTGCCTATTGTAAATAATGTTGCAATGAACATGGAACCCATATATTTGTAGGAATTAGTGGTTTCATTCCTGGATCATATGGTAGTCCTATATTTTTTTTCAGGACTTCCATAATAGTTGCACCAATTTACATTTCCACTGACAACTGACAGTACACAAGGGTTTGCTTTTCTCCACATCTTCACCAATACTTATTTCTTGTCATTTTGATAATATCTGTTCTGACAGGTGTGAGGTGATACCT